ACAATAGAAAAATACCCACCCTAAATTTATGTCGATCATTTCCTGATTGTAAACTTTTGTCCACCGAGTGTACGTATTTGGTATTATAGTTATCAGCCAATGAAACTAAATTGGTTTTCATAGGTATAAAAAAATAGCGATAGCGATAGCAATATTGAAAGTTAAATTCTCCAAACGATATATATATCGATATTCTAATAAAGTTTACTAAACAATAAAAGAACAAACATGTCAGTCAACTCCCGAAATCTCTTTTTCCTTTTTATATTGGTCGTTTTTTCATTGTTTAGTGCTCTCGAAGCATTCAATGTTCGTCGTGCTTCAGGTAATATATAATGCTTAAAGGATTCGCGTTCTAATTCTTGCCTAACAAAATTATGTATTTGTGCAGACTTCGGCAGTGGTGTTTGTGAAAATTGTATTGACCTTTATTATGAATGCGGTCCCAATTCATGTAAATATGGTCAAACGTGTCTCGTTAAACAAAATACTTGCAAGGCGTGTGGTGGAATTTACTGTCTAAGCGATGAAAAGATTTAATATACCTAAATGTATCAATAATAATATATATTCAAATTTATTCATTAATTCAAATATACTATTATCCATGTTTAACGAGGTTTGAATAGTTGAATAAGCAAACTGTTTCCATAAGCTAAATATAAAGAATATCACAAAAACCTAACTTTAATAGCTTATACATGTATTTAGTTGTTCCTGCTTTGAAAGCCAAATATTTGTGTGGGTTTGGATGAAAGCATTCTCCGATACATGATTCTAATCGAAATTTTAAAGCATCTGAGCCTCGAATCATTCTGTCGCAGCCTATTGCATGAGGAGACCACATTCCTTGACCATCCGCGCCAACTGGTATTCCATCTATCACCTTTAGTCATAAGTTTAACATGAATTATTGATGAGTTTATTGGATGGAATCTTAGTGTTCAAGAAATAAAGTGCAAGTAAAAATTCATTAAAGTATCGTTTGCTCGTATTGTGAGTTGACTAAGTATCCCATTGATTTCTTTGCAAAGAGCGCCTCGACTTTGGGATAAATTATGATGTTCTATAGCATTCATGTTAATGCATAATGCAATAAAATATTTGCTTATAAAAACTAAATGATTCTTAAAATTAAAATTCGTGATCATCTTCAATTCTCGCTTATTACGTATATGTAATCGAATACTATCGCAATTGGTGTGTTTGGATTTAAAATTACAGGCTCTCTTTGTTAAAGAATATAATTTTAAAAAATAACTTTGCTAATATTAAAAAATGCATTAATCGTGAATCTGAAGAATGGTAAATTATATATTTCATCCTTTCAGCGGCATTCGATATACGTATATCGTACATATAAACTGCAGAAATACGTATATTGATTTATACACAATAATTCTTGGTAAAAAATAATTACTAGTTAAGCTACTCACTCGATTTTTAGAAATGGCAACTTCGATGTGCTTATATTTCTTATATTAATTTGCATTTTTTTTTAGAATTTTTTGTATAAATAAAATTCTTACTATTTATTAAAAAATCGTGCCTCAACCATTTGACCACAACGGAAAAACAGATACCGATACGCATTTGTACCAGTACACAGCCTCAGAAATTATCCACTCCACGATACTATGACACATTAGGAAAAAGACGCTTCACTATCGTTATCGTTATACTGTATATGTACATTTGAATGATAATACATGTACTCTATATGTATGTCAATTGGTTTTCATAGTCATTTAAGATATAAAAGAATAGCACAAGCGATGGCAATATTGGAAGTTAAATTCTCCAAACACAATCAATCGATATTCTAATAAAGTTTACTAAACAACAAAAAAATAAACATGTCAACCAACTCCCGAAATCTCTTTTTCCTTTTTATATTGGTCGTTTTTTCATTGTTCAGTGCTCTCGAAGCATTCCATGTTCGTCGTGCTTCAGGTAATATATAGCGCTTAAAGGATTCGCGTTCTAATTCTTGCCTAACAAAATTGTGTATTTGTGCAGACTTTTATTATTGTAGACTTCATCCACAAACATGCGGTAACTATTGTAAATATCCACAATTATGCGGCGACGATGGTGGTAATTGTAAAAATTGTATTGACCTTTATTATGAATGTGGTCCCGATTCATGTAAACCTGGTCAAAAGTGTTCCGCTACACAAAATACTTGCAGTGCGTGTGGTGGAATTCACTGTACTTAAGTAAAGAAAACATTTAATATACAGTTCCGGCCGTAAGTAATGACGGCCAGTTTTTTTACTATATTTCATTCAATTATATAATACAATTAAATAAATTTATTTTGACAGTACCTTTGAATAGGGTACCATGTCCCTAAAATATCAGTACTTGATGTGGTCTCATTCCGTGTCAATGCAAGTTTAAATAAAATTTAATGGTCTAAAAATTTTGTAACTTGAACGTTTTTTAACTAAAAAAAACCAAACTATAAAATTCTGATCACTGGTTATTGAGAAAATAAGTTTGAAAATTTTACAAACTTGCAATCGGGAAAATGACTTGCTATGATGCGCTCCTATTAGATTTTCGCAAATTCATCACATTTTGATTTTTTTAATTGTTATTATCTTTCTAGAAATCTGGCACTTTATTTATATATTTTGTTTCTATAAAAAATGCTAATATTATAGTAAAATTTACATAACAATCTCACTGCCATTACTTTCGCCGGAACTGTACATGTATCAATAACAATAGATATTCAAATTTATTCATTAATTTAAATATACTACTATTATGTTTAGAGATATTTGAATACTTGAATATTGAAGTAAGCTTTAATGGTAGCAAACTGTTGCCATAAGCTAAATATAAAAATTATCACAAACCTTAATTGCTTATTGTTACATATTTTGGTCACTAATAATGGAATTGGCTTATAAATACGATCAAGGATTGGAAGAGTAAATTAAACAAATAACAGAATAGTAAAAGAAATATATCTAAGTCCTATACCAATTTCAACTAATTAGTATTATCAGAATAACAAGATTCTTTTAAACTTTGTTTCTCATAAGTAAGAAATATTATATTTTTTATAACCTAATAATAATGATTAGTTAATTAACAAAAACGCTTATTCAATAATTTTAATAACAATATTTTGATACTTGTATACAAGCTTTAAATATATAGTTAAAAGAAAAAACAAAATGTTTTAAGTGTTAAAAGATATTTGTTTTTATTATATTATTTCAAGTTCCAATATGTTGAGTCAAAGCTTATTTATCATTCATATTTATATATTTTTTATATATTTTTTATAAATACAAAATGTAAATATATTCAATTTTAATTTATTAAATATAAAAGAAGAAAAATAAAAGAGAAAAATAAATAAATAAATATATTATTTTTATAATATTATTATGAACTTTGTCTAAGATAATTGCTAAGTTTTTTATAGTAATTTTACTATATAAATCTTGATCAATTGACATTGTGTCACTTCTAGATGATCAGAAACTTGTAATTGCTTAATACATAGTAAATAAATAAATATTAGAATAAAATAGAAAAATAAAAAAATAGATAAATAGAAAAATAAATAAATAAAAAATAATATATATATATATGATAAAGTAAAATAACAATATAAAAATATCTTTTAAATAGCAATAGATTATTGCATAATTTTTACAATTTATATATGACTTTCCAATTGATATCTCTAAACTCATATTAGAAATATAATATATTTACAGAATGAAAGTTATAGTGCATAAATTTCTTTTAGTATTTATTAAATATTCTAATTTTATATATCATCTTTTGCATAATCCATTACTAAATCATTAGAGCAATCTAAATCTATCTTATAAAAAACTTAATTAGATTAGAAAAAACTTGCCCACATCTTCTAGACACATCTAACTATTAATTTAACTTTGTAAAAAAATTACATAATTTGTGACATTATTATAAAAAATAAAAGATTAGAAAATAAGAAAAAGATTGTAACTGTTAGTTAAGAGTTAGATTTATATAAGAAAGATTTTCTATAGCAACTTGTATGCAAACTTTTAAAGTTAATCAAAAGCAAATAAGAGAAGATACTTTATTAACAATCTTTATCTTCATTTAATAATTTGATATAAGTTTCTTTTCTTTGTTTTAGCAAAAAGCTTTCTATTTATACAATTTTGTTATTAATAAAAATATATATCAAAAAGATAATAAATAATTAACTACTAAAAGAATAATCATGAAAGTGAAACTCATTGAACTAATAACTAATATGCAATGATAATAATAATGATAACTACATATATAACTATACTTGTTACATATTTTCCAAATTAAGAATATTATAGCTATTTAATATTAATATTATCATTAATATAGTACTGTTATATTGGTAACACTAAATCTTCTTTTAGAAATACATTATTTTTTCGGTTTCTTTTTATTTTTTTATTTATTAATCAATTCTGATTATGTATATCATAAATCACACCACAAATTATACTGTTAATTACACTTCAAATTATATCTTAATTTATATTATATTATATAATTTATATTATAAATTCCACTGTAAATTATGTCATAAATTTCACTATAATTTATATCATAAATAGGAAATCAAAAATATATATAATATATATAATAAGAGTGAGAAAGAGCAATTAGAGATAGAGAGAAAAATTGTAATAAAGCAATAAAAACGTTAAAAATAATTACTTACTTGCGTACAATTAGTTCTTATAGTATCTTTTTCTTCTCCATTCCAATAATTCATTATTGTAAAAAGGGTTTGCCATTTTGATCCAGAAAAGTGAGGTATTTACAATTTGAAGGGTTTGTCACTTTGATCCAGAAAAGTGAGATAATTGTTTTGATAATTGTTTTGATAATTGTAATAACTACAATTTAAAGGGTTTACACTTTTGATCTAGAAAAAATGAACACATTATTAATATGTGAATGAAACCAAACCGATAATTGAATACAACAATATCCGAAGATATTGGCACAGGACTTTTGGAAATCTAATAAATAAAATAACTAGTTTAATTCGTTTCTCTCACCCAAGTTACAGATTAGCAGCTAATTCCTATAATCGGTCGTATACACAACTTAACAATATATGCAAGGCATACATGTATCAGTATGTATCACTATGCTACGTAAATATTTTAAGATAACCTGACAATGAAAGAATACAGAATAGCGATAGTCCTGTAGATTCCTTGTATCTGAATTTGGAAACGTGGGAATTTTGGAGGAAACTCGTACGTACAGTTGACTCTCGATATAATTTACAATAGGATCTCCATGGTCATTATATCGAGAACCGACTGTACGTACATGTACTACGTATCGATATGTCTAAATACTATCAGTATTGTAAAATAATGGAATTCATTTACATACCATACATTGATACAAAACACAAATTACGTATGTACGTATAGGTATGTTGCACACACGATTATAACAAGTGGGATCATAAAATTTTAATGATTGAATCATTATCGTTATATGAGTTACGTACATTA